GCTGCAGCCCCTCCATGCCTTTGTTCCTGTGTCCCTATGCATGGGTGCAGATTCATGCTTATGGCTGAGAACGCATCTATCTGTGCTTGGCTCCAGGCCATCCCACTAAGTACCAGCATCCCATCCTGGGCAGACATTGGGATTGGCAGAGCTCCAGACATGCAGCAGGTGCTAGAAGCCCTGGGCAGCTCCCTACAATGGCAGCCCAGTGGGAAAGCAATAGTCTGGCAGCTGTCAGTCTGGGCCAGTGTGGTGCAGTGGATTGATGTCTTCTGCACCAATGTAGGAGCTGTCGGGAGCTCAGCAGCCTTGTACACGCCTGGCCCTAGTGCCCGGACCTTGGCTGCCTGTCTGAGAGGGCCATCCCAGCCCTGGGTGCCCACTCTGGGTCAACCATGTCTTTCTCTGCCCACTGCCTCCTTCCACCCCATCTGGGCTAGCAGAGCTGCCAGGGATGGCACTGCATCCTCTGCCAGGCAGTGCCTCTGCCTTTCCTGAGCTGTACTGGAGTAATTGTACATATAATTCCATCAGCTGGTGGGTGAATAATGCCCAGCAGAAGCTGCAGCATGTTGTCAGCATGTTTTATCTGCTGCACCAGCTTGCATGTGGCCTGCTAAGATGCTCTGATAGCAGCCTTGGGCTCCATCATGCAGAGGGAGGGCAGGTTCTTGGGTGAAGTCTGTCCAGGTGTTGAATGCTGCAGAGTGGGATTTCCCCTCCCATGACAGTCTGGAAGGAGCCATTTTTCAGTTTGAAAAAAAGTGGCAAAAAGCAGAGCTTGGCTTTTCTGGTGAGAGTTCTGGTCCCCAGCCCTGCACAAAGCTGCCTGAGATTTGCCCTGTCAGCTGGGGAGTTTCCACCCAGATTTCCAGCACAGGTCGTGTTCCTGCCTGCTGCCTGGCTGTGGCCCTCCCTGGGGCAGCTCTAGTCCCAGCAGAGCAGTTGGCAGAGCCCTGGAAGGAACTAAACAAGCCCAAAGCTGCTCGCCTTCACAGGGCTCTGCCACTGCACCAGTGCTGGGATGAGCTGGCAAGTGTGGGCAGGAGCACAGTAGAGGAGTCAGGGCCGGCCCCTGTTTCAGTGCTACCTCGCTGGTTGTAGTGCAGAGGCAGCACTTAGGCCGGGCTGCTGGGAGCTACAGCCAGGGTTTGGTTTGCAATCTCCTTGTTGCTGTCCCTCCTTGATTTGAAAGGGAGCTGGAGGGTTGTTGACTCCTGTTTGGTTTGGCTCAAGCCATGATGAGGGGACAGGCAGCTAGGGGCAGCATTTCCTGGTGACGTGCTCTGGCCGTGGGCTATGCCCAGGTTGCAGTACTAGTGGGTCAGGGTGCAGGGTTTGCAGAGAGTTGGCTCACATCTCCTTCCCCACCTGGCTCCACCTTGTCACCTGCAGCTTTCATAACTGTACACACTGCCATGTGTCCGGCACAGCTGCCTTCAGGGTACATGAGGCTTTCCTGGAGGAGAGTTAGAGCAGTTCTCTCTGCACAGCAGCTGCTTGCTGAGGAAGAGCCTCTGCGGGGGCTGCAGAGAGGAGCCTGTGGAAATACTCAAGCCCAGGGTATGATGGAGATGGAGGGCTGTGCCGTTGGAGGGAGAATTGTCAATACAGAGCCTGCCTCTTGCATTGCTTCCCTGACAGAACAGTGGTGGCGCTGTCATGTGGAAATGTAGCAGGAAATTAAATTTAAGTTGGATACAATGTCCTATTTGAGAGTTAAAGTAGGCTGGCTGGTCCACACTGCTCTGTGACACCAAATACTTCAACTTGATGAGTTACTCTTCCCTGCAGGACCAGTGAGCAGCTATCATCAGATCTTGCTCCCTGCAGGTGACTGGCTGGTGGAGAGGAGCTGGGTGGCTGCCAGGTGGGATGCATCCATTAGCAGGACTTCATCTCTGGATCAGGGGAATCCACCCCAGGGCAGAGGGGGTTACTGGCGTGACAGAGTAAACTCATCAGCTCATCATATTTTTGCAGCAGCCTCAGGGCCTCACTGTCCAGAAGAGTTCCAGGAGATCAAAGCTGGTGCTGGGTGAGATTCCTATCGCTCCTTACTCACTCAGCTTCAGGCAGGTCCCAACCCTTCTGCTTTCTGTGGCAAGGGCTTAAGCATGCATGAGCCAGTAGGTAGCACTAGGCTGTATGCATCCAATAATTCTCTCCACCTCAAGCCACAGCAGGTGTCCAGCTCTCTAATTGTGAGACTTAATGCTCCTCTTGTTTTGCCGTTGCAGGTCTGGTATGATGATTTGCTGCCAGGTGATCGTTCTTCTCTTGCTCTCCTTTCTTTCTTTCCAGTGCTGCAGCTGCTTACCTTGTTCCTGATCACGTTCCCTGATCCATGCTCTAACTAGCCAAAAGGTAGTTCTTGTCACAGCCAATCCCAGAATTGACAACATACTGCAATGATGCTGGCACCTCGTAGCACCCTGGTCCATCAGGACTTCCAGAAATACCTGTCTTACAAGACATTGTATCCCAACTGCATCCATGCCCTCACCATGGTGGAAGTGAGCCTCCATGTGTCATGGAGTGAGATGGCGGAGATGGTGTGTGCAACACAAGTGCTAAATTCATGGTGCAGGCAGGCAGTTTTCCATCACTCCTGAACTATCCCTTCTCTACCACCATCGACATCTCCATGGGCTGCACAGGCATGCTGGTGTCTGAGCAGCACATCCTCACCAGTGCCCATTGCATTCACAATAGGTAAGATTATGTGAAGGGGGCCAAGAAGATCAAGGTTGGTTTCCCGAGGCCAGTGCAGTGTGCTGTCAATGGTGTGGGGATGGGAAGGCTGGCAATGTGCTAGGCTCGGGTGCCCAAAGGCTTGATCCAGGACTGCAACTGGGTCAGCATGGACTATGACTACATCCTTTGGAGTAGGCCTGAACAGGAAGCTGATGACAACACCGACAGAGATGTCTGGGAAGATGATTAATTTCTTGGAGTTTGACAGTGACTGTCTGGGCAAACTGGTCCACTGCTTCTGTGGGTTAGAGGATGAGATGATCCACCTTATCTACTAGCACTGCAATGCCAGGCCTGGTGCATGGCAAAGTGCAGAAATGGGAGAAGAAGATGATCAGGGTCTTCAAGGAGCATCAGTGGCTGAAAGTGGCTGGGGAGCATGATGACTGTAATGTTGCTGTTTGCCTGACCACTCTAAAGTTTGCTCAGGTTTGTTACTGGATCAAATGGGCCTCTAAAAGCCATCAGTGTGAATGAGAAACACAGCCTGCCTAGCCAGTGGAGGTAGCTTTGAGTGTGGTGTTCCTGAGGGAGAGCATGGCCAAGAAGCCTG